GATGGTTGTTACGAACGTTTCGGTTGCTCCAGGTCAAACAACTTTTCACTGTCTCTCGTGAGTATTTTCATTTTTTCTCCACTCTGACAATAACACAACTTCAGGCACCACGACACAGTCTACAAGCACTCACCATTTGAGCAGCAGAGAGAGGAAGCTCAGGTCGACGCGCTCCTTTTCCACGTTGCCATAGCGGGCCGGCAGCAGGGACAGAGTGATGGCCAGCAGGTCCGGCTCACTGCACAGTCTGTTGCGAAACATCCCACTGGCTATCAGGCACATGAGGTGGACCTGAGAGACCGATTAGAGGTTAGGAATGACCCCAAACCCAACTGCGATGACACATCAAATGAATAACTGAAAAGCACCACGCAGGAAGATGTGTCTGTTTTCACCTTGTGTGTGTCTATCCACACGTCCTTCTTGTATCGGTTCATCATCCGCCTCAGGTAATTCTCAAACTCTGCCTGCCTCTTCTGTCTGGAGAATCAGGAATAAATATTATTAGGAGACACAAAGAGCTGCGTGACAAATACATGTGTGTGCATATTTAGTTATATGTGCAGTTATCAACTTGATGAGTAAACAAAATTTGGCACATTATAAGACAGATGCTGTTGCATAAGAAACATATTTTAAAAAGGACTTCCTGCTCAATTTTAATGTTAATCAGCTGATGTGAAATTCACGTTTGGTGACTTTTACAGGACAGAACATGCAGTGTAGCATAACTGATTGTCCATTCAGTTTTCTGTACTGTACAGACAGATGAGATGGGTTTTGTTGGAACAAAAACAACATAATTAGAATATTTCCTCTTGAAAGCCTTCAGTTCTCTGTAAGTACACATGGCCAAACTGACAATAGAGCTGACTTGACTGGTCTTTACACGTGAATGTAAACTTTTGTTCACATCAGTAAATATCACTGCTAAACAATCTTACATGTGTTAATTCAGCACTTTCTAACACATATTCATTCACCTCTTTCTCACTTCTGGGGTCTCAATCTCTATTTCCACGGACTCAGATGGCAGGACGGGTTCTGGTGGTTCAACTGGACCCAGCGGTTCAGCCAACTCTGATCAACACAAACACACTAAGTTTTCACCTCGTTTCCCATCGTTCTCTCAACATGCTATAGCCTTTCTGAAAATTATGTTTTCCACAAAAATAAAAACCGTTTTACAGATCTCTCACTTGCCTTCCACTTCCTCCCAATCATCCTCATCTTCCTCACTGTCCTCCTCCACTTCTTCTTCTTTTGTTTTCTCCGCTTTCTTGGCACTCATTTTAAACTTTGGTGGCGGTGGTGAGGTCTCCATGTCAAAGTCCTCCTCACTGTCGACCTCCTCCTTCACTGGCGACTGGAAGTATTTACTGGTTTTGACGGCGGCGCTGGAGGTGGGTTTGGAAGACGAGGTTTTTCTTGCTGCTGGCTTTAAAGACGAACGCGGCTTGGGCTTGACCTTCCTCTCAAGTTTTTCCTCTTTCTCTTCAAAGTCACTATCTAGATGGACACACAGAAAGATGTTTGTTTTTTAAGCTGCTATGTTTGACTAATAATTGTGTGTGACTGTGTAGTTTGTGGCTTTCAAGCTTCTTCTTTTTACTGACAGTTTGTTCAAATCCTTGTAATTTACAGCTGCTGTATTTCCCATCAATGAACCTCAACCAAATTAATGCAATAGAAGTATAATCACGATCAACAAACAAGATAACAACTATCTTTGCCTTTCTTTGTCAGTATGACAGCACTGCATTTACACTGTGAGCCAGTTTTTGAGAGAAAAAAATGTTCAAAACAGATAAAAGAGCTTCCAGAGAGGGAAAAAGATTCCTTTCTGGTTGGTCTGTTCATGTGAATTATATCCACAGTTTAGGCATCACTTGTGGCAAAACGTGAAAGGAATAAAAAGACATAAAACAAAGTCTACAGCTCATATAACAGATACACAAGAAAGAGCACAACTGAGATAATACTGCTTCTATAAAGCACTGAAGTGTGCAAACTTGCATTTTAAAACTGTGACAAGAGCAGAGATAAAATAAAAAAAATATCTCAATAAATAAAAATACATGGCGTAAGGCAAACACACCAGCATGTTACTAACGGCGGAGAACGATGCAACTTTTGTTAATAAAAGAACAACATTTACAGAAACACCAGCATTTTGTATGTTTTTCAGAAAGTGGAGCACAGATGCGTATCAGGGCCTGCAGATCCACACCAGTAACCATGCACGTCATCCTTGCACCTGCACACCGGATGTTCATGCAGCATCTTTAAACAACATTAACAAGTTTTGCATTTCTAACCACTGAGGACAGATAAAAACAAACACCAGAAAGTATTAGGTTGGAGTAAGACTGGTGCGTTCTCCCCAAACGAACAAAAACAGCGCTGGAATCCTGTCGTATTGATTTCACATGTATGTCACGTTATCATTTCACTAAATGTTATTTACGTGTTAGGAGTTTTATCGAATGGATTTAAGCACGAGTTTTTCCATTTACTGATGTTACAGTCATCTGAAATGTTGGAGCTTCAATATAACTTCTGCCTGTGCTGGCAACCTGCTATGTTCTAGCATGGTGCATTTAGCAACTGTTAAATTGTAAATCTAGCCTGGGAGAAATGACGCAAAGAGGTTTGATTGGCCAGAAATGTGCAGATGATGACAAGTTGAGCAGAAAACAGACCTCAGTCGAACACAAACGTGAGCGTGAGGTTTAATATTTTCCTTCTCGTGGATTAATCGTAGCAACTGGACTCGCTTGAGTTCCTTGAAGACGTTTCACCTCT